CGTCGAAGGTTTTCGTTTGAATGAACAAAATCCGTCAAGAATTCATTGAGATTTCTCAGTCAATTTTCGTAGGGGATGACTTCTCCCCGATGAAGACGGCGTACAGGCTGTCGTGTGTATGCAAATTTGTAAACCCTGTCTTAACAAAGGCATCGCTGTCAACATTTCTGTTTTATTAAAACGACATTTGAAAAGATAACAACAAAGGTAAAAGGCAACATCTTTTGTTATATCATACTCTTAATGTGAAGGTGGCACTCAGAAAACTGGGGTGCCGCCCTAATTACAAAATGTGAGGTGACCGTTCAAAATTATCAAACCAACAGATAAGAAAACATCGATTGTTCTTCCCCATAATTTTTTATTTTGGGATTTTGTCGGTTTTAGGTTGACAAGGATCCTTTTGTAGATAATATCTATGGATTCCTTCATGACAATTAGGCTTATAATCAATCATTCGAGGTCTAAGTCTATGGTCTTTAGGAAGATTAACCAATATTTTAATATTTTCATCCAACTCAATGATCTCATTTGACTGTGAACTACAAGGAATATTCGACGTAGGATTTGGACTAACCGGAATATTCAAAGGAAGACTACCCTAAATATTTTAAGGAAGATTTAAGCACTGTTTAGTATCGTTCTATTACGTAACTATATAACAAGAAAAAATGTCTTAGATTCTAAGTCCTAGAGTACTCTACAATGAATAATACTAATTAAACAATAATTCAAATAATCAATAATCATATATATTAAACAATAGTTCAATTAATCAATAACTATATTAAACTATATCAATTAAACAAAATTTCATATATTTTTTTTAACAAACGATATTATCTACACTAAGACCATCTCAAACCATTGGGTTAAAATCTAAAATTTTTAACCCAAAATTTTTTTTTTCTTTTGCTCCAACCCTTATGGATTAAATTTTTAGCCCAAGATTATTAAAAAATGAATTTATGATATTTTTTTTAAAAAAAATTCAAAAAAAATTACGTAGACCATCTTAATTAAAATTTTATGAACATTTTAACTTAAAAATATTTAGATTCCGATAAGGGTAAATTACATTTAACCCCCTCAAATTTGATTCCAATTGCAACCTCATACAATATCCTTTAATTACATTTCAAAGAGATCTTCTAATTCCAATTACGAATTCGTAAGGTCCTTACAAAAGAGCCTCTCATATTTGAAAATCACTAATATTTATAGAGTTTTTTGAGTAAATTTTGATTTAAATAAATCTTTCTTTAATTATATTAGTCGTTGGATATAAATTTGGGTTGTTAATTTTTTTTTTGTACCGTTTAATTTGATCATATTAAATTTCAGCCATTGGATTTAATAAATTTATAAATTTAAAACTAGAAATTAACAAAGTTTAAATCTGAACTATTTGATGGAATCAAAGGTTTGTTGCTCTACACTATTAGATGAAAGAAAGAGCCATTGGGCTCATAAATCTTCCCCGACATGTCCACATGGGTGGGTCCCTGGCTGTTTGTTTGGGAAAAGTGGGGGGCGTGGGATTGTAAATGGTGCGTCAATCCTATGCAGCTTTGAAAAAATTGGGCGTGCCACATGCAGATTTGGGCCAGCCCACTAACCCAAACTCAAATCTTGGTTGGAATTTGGGCAATTTTTGAGTTTTTTACCCATAACTCCATTTTAGGCCAAAGGTTGGAGTGTTTTTTTTTTTTTTTTTTTTTTGTTGGGGGGAGCGGGGGTGGAATAGAAGGCAAATTACTCCAAGGGTTGGAGTTGGTCTAAGATGTGGAGAAATGAGCTAAGTCTCACAATGAGTTATCAAAAATGTGGTTCACAATGGACTAATAATAATGAGGTTCACAATGGGCTAACTGATGCAGGAGAAGCCAAGGGAGTCTCGAGAGACAAGGGATGATAACCTACGAATCGCTCAACCAGGGGGGACGGAATCACTCACGTCTTTATAGGGATAGAACCTGGGAATCACTTGACCAGGGGCAACGGATTCACTCATGTCGCTAATCGTGGATTCACTCGACAGGACCAAGTCTCATACTTGATTTTAAGGAGGAGAAAACTCACTCTCTTCTTAGATGAACTTTAATTCACTAATTTCACTTCTTAATCTTACATATAAAACCCTTTAAATAGGAGACTACCTTACATTGATAGGATTAATAACTTAATACTAAAGATTATAGTTACTAGGCATCTAATTAAAAACATGACTTTGAAAGATAAAAAGTCTCCAACAACATGTTTAATGTTGAAACCATATTAATTGTTCTACATCGCATCATTCTCCTCTTCTCAAAAAAAACTCGTCCGAGTTTCCTTTGATTTTTTTTTCCTCGATCTTTTGCACGACCTTTCAAAATTTTCCACAACAGCCACAATAGCAAAAGCAAATTCAGAGCTGTCAAGTTGTTCCGTCCCACAAAATATTCCTTTGAACTCCACTTCCATGTTATTCCAAAGCAAGTACACCTTGGTTCCTTGTTAACAGAAATTGACTTCAAATCAAGCACATACACTTTCCAAATTATTGTTTCTTGTGATGAGTAGCGTTGGAGGGATATTGAGAAACCACAATCAAATTCATTGATTATTTTCTTCAACAATTTCCGCTCTAGATTGTGAGTAATGAGATCTTCCCAAATGTAATCATTATGCACAATCAATGTTTTTACCTCTTTATGAAGCTGTACATAAAACGTTTCCACCATTGTACTGATGTTATGTGGATAACCCCAATCCACAAAGCCTTCTTCTCCTGGTAGCAGATAAACTTTTTGATGAGCCACATCAACGGTATGCTTGTCGTCGTCATCAGATTTGTTATAAATTGGTGGATAATTCCAATCAACGAAACTAATCTCTTCAACGATGTGATCTTGAAACGGATTGATAATCATAACCATGATCTTCAACCGCAGCGGAAAACCTACTATGATGCCACTTGACACAGGAGAAGCCAAGGGAGTCTCGAGAGATGAAGGATGATAACCTGGGAATCGCTCAACCAAGGGAACGAAATCACTCACGTCTCTACAGGGATAGAACCTGGGAATCACTCGACCAGGGGCAACGGATTCACTCACGTCGCTAATCGTGGATTCACTTGACACGACCAAGTCTCACACTTGATTTTAAGGAGTAGAAAACTACTCTCTTCTTAGATTATCTTTAATTCACTAATTTCACTTCTTAATCTTACATATAGAACCCTTTAAATAGGAGGCTACCTTCATTGATAGGATAAATAACTTAATACTAAAGATTATAGTTACTAGGCATCTAATTAAAACATAGCTTTGAAAGATGAAAAGTCTCCAACAACATGTTTAAAGTAGAAACCATATTAATTGTTCAGCGCTGCATCACTAACGACATATTAAATTGTCAATTAGAGATTTCTAAAAATGAGGACACGATATTTTAAAAAAAGTGTATTGCACTCGCACTAACACAATCTAAGCATGAAGTGACACGATCGCTATTCTCTTCTCTCAAACCTTTATGTGGCACTGAGAAGCAAGAAAAATAACACCCAGGAGAAACAATTTGTTGATACAATTAACCGAGTCCAATTTCTAGGCCAAGAATTCTAACTGCATAAACAACATCCAGTTTTTGGTATTTCTCGTAAGTATTGGAGTTTGGTTTGTGGAAGAGAAGGCCCTTTTGGACGTGATCTACTAGGATGAGCTGAAGATCCCATGGAGTTAGCTCACTTTTCTTAAAATATAAACCAAGCGATTGTGCACTAAGTGTGAAGTTGACTTATTTGGATTCTTTTATATACCTCGAATGTTGGAGAACTTTACATTGTTGTGGTTTGTATTCCCAAAACTTAAAATGAAAGAAATGAAGAAAAAGTGATTTTAATCATTCCTTGCTTTAGAGCAACAGTGCAGCTAATGGTTAAATGAAAGCATAAAAGACTGGAAATATAATACAATAACTAATAGATCTTAACGACAATACGCTTGAAATGTAACATGAAAGGAGGCTTCTTCGTCCTTGCTAGTAGGTTGCGAGTTAGGGTAAATCGGACCTTTTGTCCTCACAACTCCTGTAATGGATGCTGCGAATTCACTCGCTACCGCAGGCGAGCAATCCTATGAGAACACGTTGCTCATAGCCTTTCCAGCTAACGTGGACCTCTTACCTTGAAGAGGCACCCATCTCCAAAGAATAGAGAGATCAAACGTTCGATACAAAGTTGAGTTCTAAGGTATATAATAAAGGTAATGTTAGAAAGATTAAATTTTTAAAATCAAATTTACAAATAAAATAATGTGGTTGTATGTGATTGGATTATTAACTACGTACCGATCAATGTGTTTGTTTCTTATTAATGACACATTATTCGATTTATAAATTTGGTTTAAAAATTTGTTCTCCCTAACCTTATCTATATATTAAGATAACAATAATCAGTTTTTGTTTGATTATTTATTTGGTAGAGGTACTTTCACTATTGTGCATGTTTTATCTGATGCTAATTAACTTTTGTTTTCTGGTCATGTGCTAAATTAACTATTTGCAAAAGAATCCACCGACCCACATATAGTTGTTGGCACGCGAGTTGGATCCAAAGCAAGTTATCTTTGCCATCTCGTCCTCCTCCTCCGCCTCGGGTATTCGCAAGCGCTGACGATTCCGACAGAGCCATGTCCCTCACCAGAGCCACATCTCTCAAAAACTCCGAGTTTGGGGAAAGAGGTTGGGAGGGGAAGGTATAGGGGAAAAAGGTGCACAAGATAAGAGGTGGGGCGTAGGATAGAGATAAGTGATGAGAGGGGGTTGTGTTCGGTGGTCGAGGAACAAGGAAGGCCTCTTCTTTGGCTGTCTTGTGGGCAGAAGATGGTGGGGGGAAGCCTTTTGTTGGGTGTCACCCCACAATGTTTTTTTTTTCTTTTGTTTTTCCGGTAAGAAATTAGGTAAATGTTTGTAAATGTTTCTTCTAAGATGGAAAACGTTACAAGTCAATAGCGGAGGAGAAGAGGCCACAGGAGGGGAGGCATAATTACACGGAGAGAGGAAGAGAGATGAAGGCTAAAGAGTGTGTGGACATATTTTATCCCTATATTTAAGTGAGATTTAACAGAAATTTCACTTTTGGGTAGTCTTGGAAATTCGCTATCACCACACGGTGACCATTAATCGTCCGATTTGGCCTAGAGTTAAAGGCACCCTCAAAGCTTCAGTATAGTATAGTCTGCCTTCCTCAAGAGAACAACACCAAAATATGAGACACATTCGCTTGATCTCCACCACAACTGTTCAACCGACAACCCACAGTGATGAGTTAACTCGTAGAATTGAGTTAACTCCATGGGATCTGCAATTCCTCCTTGTAGATCAAGTCCAAAAGGGCCTTCTTTTCCACAAACCTACTTCTACTAACTGTGGGAATGAAGACCTAAAGAATAACCTAGTCGAACACTTAAAGTCCTCTTTCGCCACCGCCTTGGACATCTTCTATCCCCTCGCTGGTCGTCTGGCCATCACGGAAAATAAAGACGATAACACCACCTCTTTCGCTGTCGAATGCAATGGCGCCGGAGCTGAGTTTGTCCACGCGGTTGCTGATGGAGTCACTGTGGCGGATATCCTCGACCCTGTCTTGGTCCCCGATGAAATTGTCTACGACCTCTTTTCCATGAATGGGGCATTGAATTACGAAAGTGTGACCAAACCCCTTCTTGCAGCGCAAGTAACAGAGCTGGTTGATGGCGTTTTCATAGGTTGCACAATGAACCACTTGGTTATTGATGGGTCGACATTCTGGCATTTCTTCAACACTTGGTCCGAGATCTCTCGCGGTGGTGGTGGTCGCGATGGAATTTCGCAGTCACCTCGTATTTTTGGCCGTGAGTTTCTGGACGGCATCATTGATCTTCCAGTTCGCATTCCCTTCTTCCGCAGTCAGATCCCAGATAAATTTCTACCACCGCCTCTTAAACAACGGGTATTTCATTTCCCCAAGGAAAAAATTGCTCAGCTCAAAGCCAAAGCCAATGACGAGATGGGCACCACCAAGATCTCATCCTTGCAAGCACTCTTGGCTCATCTTTGGGTTTCCATAACCCGCACCAGGCATCTCAACCCCGACCAAGAAATCAAATATTGCTTACTAGTAGGCCTGAGGCAAAGATTGCAGCCGCCATTACCCGATGAATACCTTGGCAATGCGGTTCTTTTTGGCACGGCCACATCCACCGTGAGCGATTTGCTCAACCGCGGACTAGGATGGGTGGCTTTGGAAATGAACAAGATGATTGCTTCAAAGACGAAAGAGGATGCTATAAATTTTTTGAAGCAATGGATAGAGAGTCCAAAACTGGCCAAATTGAATGCTTTCGCAAGTGATGACGCATTGAGCACGGGAAGCTCGCCGCGGTTCAACGTGTATGGTAACAACTTTGGTTGGGGAAGTCCTCTGGCAGTTAGAAGTGGTGCCGGGAACAAGTTCGATGGGAAGTTGACGGTGTTTCCCGGGGCCGAAGATGGAAGCATTGATTTTGAAGCTTGCCTCTCGCCGCAGACGCTGCACGCTTTGGCGGAGGACGAAGAGTTCATGGCTAGTGTGGCTTGGTAAACTTTATTTTAGAGAAAATTTTATTATTGCGGATCTTCGATCCTTGATTTCTTGGTTTTTAAATTATGCTCATGTTTTATTTGTGTCATTTTATTCTTAAGAACATCCCCGCTTAAATTACCTGATTACTAAGCGTCCTCCACTCAATCATTGAAAATTTGTTGGTTTATGGTTGTGGACAGTTCTGGAAATTAATAAAGGTCGTCGGCCTTCACCATGTGATCATCAGACCTCTACCAGTCTGTAGAAACCTTAACTTGTAAGGAACTCAGAGAAGTAGAAAAATATCTTCTTATTCTCATTACAACAATAATGCATTTACAACAGTATATATATAGACATCAATACAAGAGTAAAAATAACCCTAACATTTACAATTAATTACACACTACCCTTGTCTAACTAACTCCAGCTATACAGCTATTACTATTAGACTCTTTACACCCCCTCAAGCTGAGACTTGGTGCAGGAAAAGTGCCAAGAGGAAGCTTGGACCGAAGAAAACAGAACCTGTGCTTGGATAGAGACTTGGTGTGTAAGTCAGCAAGCTGATCATGACTACAAACATAGAGAACCTTAACCAACCGAGCCAAGACAAGTTCCCGAATATAATGATAATCTACCTCAACATGCTTTGTCCGAGCATGGAAAACAGGATTTGAAGCAAGAGATATCGCAGAGATATTATCACACCAAATGACAGGAATTGTAGACAGAGCAAGATGAATATCAGAAAACACCTTGCAGATCCAAGTGAGTTCAGCGGCAGTATGAGCTAAAGAACGGTATTCAGCTTCTGTTGAGGAGCGAGCAACAGTGGGTTGCTTTTTAGCAGTCCAACTAATTAAATTCCCACCCAGAAAAACACAAAAGCCACTGGTAGATCTCCGATCATAAGTACAACCAGCCCAATCAGCATCAGAATAAGCAGTGAGATCTAAAGAACCCTTTTTAAACCAGATACCCTGTGTAAGAGTACCTTTGAGAAAGCGAAGAATACGTTTGGCAGCCTGCATATGTTGTTCCCTGGGAGCATGCATGAATTGAGAGACTTGATTGACAGGAAAGGAGAGATCAGGTCTGGTCCAGGTAAGATACTGTAAGCCACCCACGATAGACCTATACTCGGTGGGATTAGAAAGTAGAGGACCACTGTGATCAAGCTTTGAAGCACCAAGAGGGGTGACACAAGGTTTGGCTCCTGCCATATTTGTCTTGTGAAGAAGATCAAGAAGATATTTACCCTGATGCATGAAAAGACCGTCAGAGGTACGATGAACCTCTAAACCCAAGAAATAATGAAGAGGGCCAAGATCCTTAACAGGAAATACTTGACTGAGCTTGTGAATAAATTGCTGACAAAGATTGGTATTTGGACCAGTCACAAGGATGTCATCGACATAGACCAACACAAAAACTGGAACTGATGATTGCAGAACAAACAGGGAAGCATCAGAGGAGGATTGTGTGAAACCAAAAGTGTGCAGGGCTTGGAACAGTTTCTCAAACCAAGCGCGGGGAGCTTGTTTTAATCCGTACAGGGATTTGTGAAGTTTACACACATGAGTAGGTAGATGAGAATCAATAAAACCAGGTGGTTGACTCATAAAGACATCTTCCTTGAGGTCGCCATGTAAAAATGCATTGCTAATGTCCAATTGATTTAAAAACCAATCAAATTGGACAGCCAGAGTTAATAGAATCCGAATGGTAACCGGCTTGGCTACTGGACTAAAAGTATCCTGATAATCAACACCCTCTTGCTGATGAAAACCTTTAGCGACGAGACGAGCTTTATACCTATCAACTGTGCCATCAGGTTTTCTCTTAATCCTGAACACCCATTTACAACCCACAATGTTCTGAGAAGAAGAGGGAGGAACCAAGTGCCAAGTACCAGTGAGTTGAAGAGCATTAAACTCTTCCTGCATAGCTTGACGCCAGTGTGCATATTTGGAAGCTTGTAGATAGGTAGAAGGAATAAAGTCAACATCCAGAGGTAATGGATGTTTGGTTGCAGAATAAGCCTTGGGTTTGAAAACACCAGCCTTAGATCGAGTGAGCATAGGATGAGCATTAATAGGATCTGAAGATGGTGCAAGAATAGGGGCAGGGTTGGACAAGAGAACAGGAGAAGAAACAGGTGCAATGGAGGAAGGCACAGATGATGAAAGAGAGAAACTGGAAGAGGAAGAAATATCGGGAGATGGCTGAGGAATGGAGAAGTGCAAATCAAAAATGGCAGAGGAAGAGGGAGTTGGATGTGGAGCAGATACAGAGGACAAATGATGAAAAGGAAAGTGGGTTTCATTGAATTGTACATGGCGAGAAATATAGATGCGCTGAGTGTCAAGAGCAAGACACCTATAGCCCTTGTGCTGCAGACTATATCCCAGAAAGACACATGCTGTACTTTTACCATCTAACTTGGAGGAAACATATGGCTTCAACCACGGATAACAGGAGCAACCAAAAACCTTTAACTTGGAGTAGTCTGGAGAAAACTTGAATAAAATTTCCCATGGAGAACTATTCAAACTAGAAATAGGCAGCCGATTTATAAGGTAGATAGCAGTAGAGAAGGCTTCAACCCAATACAAATGAGGAACTTTAGATGCCACTAATAAAGTCCGAGCTGTCTCAACTAAATGACGGTGCTTTCGTTCGACACAACCATTTTGCTCAGGCGTGTGGGGACAACTGAGCTGATGAGATATGCCATTAGCTTGAAGAAAAGATGTAAAGAGATTGCTAGTAAATTCACCCCCTGAGTCAGACCTCAAACACTTGATTTTATTGCCAACAGAAGTTTCAACATAGTTTTTGAACACAACAAAAGTGGAATATACATCAGATTTGGCCTTTAAAGGAAAGAACCAAGAATACTTGCTATGATCATCCACTATTAGAAGGTAGTATTTGTAACCAGAAACAGAAACAACCGGAGCAGGGCCCCAAACATCACAATGTAGCAAGCTTAAGCTAGTAGTTGAAAATGAAGTAGAAGAGGAAAACGGAAGCTTGTGATTCTTAGCAACTGCACAGTCAGAGCAGAAGAAGTTAACAGATGGCTTCCCTTGCAAAGCAAGTTTATTGGTAGACAGAACCCGCCTGAAGATGGAGGAAGCTGGATGCCCCAGGCGACTGTGCCAAATATTCACAGAAGCTTTAGTACAGACTAATGCCCGAGATGGCAAGGAAGATGAAGAGAAAGAAGCAGGAATACCTTGAAGATGATAGAAACCATGTCTAACTGGTCCCCGCAAAAGCATCTTCCCCGTAGAACGATCCTTAACAACGGAGCCATTGGAATTCAAAGTCAAAGAGCATGAATTATCTTTGAGAAATTGATATGCAGAGAGTAAATTGTGCTTCATTTGCGGAACATGTAAAACATTGTTCAATTTGAAAGAAGCATGATCAGTATGTAAGGATGTGCTGCCAGTATGGTGAATGGACAAACCTTTGCCATCGCCGATATAGACCTTATCATCACCAGTATAAGGAGTAGGAGAGGTAATATTGGAGATGTCATGAGTGATATGAGAGGTAGCTCCAGAATCAAGAATCCAAGAGGGAGATGGTTTGGATGCATACTGAGTGTACATGGCTGCGAGTTTGGTAGGAGGAACCTTTCCAAAGATGTCCGGATTCATGCGATCATAGCAGTCAATGGCTTCATGACTTGTGGATCCACAGATTTGACAAGGAGAACGAGAGTGAGAGGAACCCTGAGAACGAGAGCCTTGATTGTCCTGAGAACGAAAGCCTTGATTGTCCTGAGAACGAAAGCCTTGATTGTGATATCTATGGAATCCAGAATTAGAAGAATTTCCCCGATTGCCCTGATAAGTGCGATTGCCTCTGTGGTTGGAAAAACGATTGGTATTCCGACCTCGATTAGAGTTGTACCGAAAAGAATTTTGCAGTGGTTGATTGTGAGCAGCATAGGCCTGAGAGGAATGAGGTGTGGGAAGTAATGGGGGTTGATTCTGAGCAGCATACGCTTGAAAAGGTTCTGTAGCAACAGATTTCTTGCGACGAGCCATTGACAACTCTTTAGTAAGAAGAAGACCATGCAGTTCATCCAGAGTAGTAGAGGAGAGCCGAAGAGTGATAGAATCAACGAACGAGTCAAATTCCTCAGGTAAGCCATGGAGTGTGGCAGCAATGAGGTCACGATCGGACACACCAGCACCGGCGGCAGTTAAGGAATCAGAAATGGCTTTGATTTGCTGCAGATACTCAGAGATTGAATGAGAGCCTTTCTGAAGAGACTGAAGACGAGAACGAAGTTGATGAACATGAGCATCTGAAATTCCTCCAAAACGTTGCTCCAATTTAACCCAAAGATCGCGAGAAGAAGAAACCCCAACTGTAAAAGGAATGATTTCCTCCGAGAGTGTAGAGTTTAACCAGATCAAAAGATTTTGATCTTTCTCATACCACTGTTCAAACAACGGATTGGGTGAGCGATCAGATAGCAAGGGAGAGGGACAGGGTTCAGATCCATCAATAACACCAAGAAGCTTGTAGCGACGGAGAATGGGAGCAAAGAGCGCACGCCATGGAAGATAATTCGAGCTCTTAAGTTTGAGAGGAACCATACTCCCAATGTTTTGAATCGTCAGAGAAGTATAACTAGACACCAAATTAGGGTTTGAAGAAGAGGGAGAAGACGATGAATCGGACGCCATGCGTGAAAACAAGAACAAGATCCAGCCAAACAGAATACAGAGAGACACAAAAGATCGAGATCTGAAAGATCGAGATCTGAAAGATCAGCAAGAAAGATCACCAGAAAAATCACCAGAGATCGGAGCGAACACGGAAGGCGGAAGACGGTGGCGTGAGGATCGAAAAGTCACCAAGGCCGGAAGGCGGTGGCGATTGATACCATGTAGAAACCTTAACTTGTAAGGAACTCAGAAAAGTAGAAAAATATCTTCTTATTCTCATTACATACAATAATGCATTTACAACAGTATATATATAGACATCAATACAAGAGTAAAAATAACCCTAACATTTACAATTAATTACACACTACCCTTGTCTAACTAACTCCAGCTATACAGCTATTACTATTAGACTTTGTAAAGAAAGGGACAGAAGAATTATTGGTACTATAATCGATGCTACATGATAACAATAATTACAGAATGGCATTATTGATTCCTGCAGTTTGCAAGGATTTACGTGATGTAGCCATTTCACTAAGTAATACTACTAGGAGAGTGCAGTACCTCTC